ACATGCAATTGTGGGGGTCACATCTGTTCATCCGGGGAGGTGTGCAAGTCATGTCTGTTTGTGCAGGAGATGTGTCTGTTCGTACAGTAAAAGTGTCTGTTCGAGCAATAGATGTGTCTGTTCATAAAGGAGTCAAAGAAACAAAGGTCCCAGTCCAGATTCAAGTCAGAAGGGAAGTCTAGATACAGACTGGAAGTCCGAAATTCAGGCCTAAAGGCCGCAGCAGCAGCAGACCCTGAGGGAAAGGTACTGGGACACATTCTGCGGTGGTCTGGGACTGGGAAAGGACCCAAGGGGGACTGATTCAGACCTCGCGAAGAGAGGCCAGCACTATAAGAGACTAGGCCAGCCTCCCCACAGGACAGATTCCCATTGGCATTGATGCGTGGAAGTGCTGTGGCACTTGTGTGCTATAGTGCAGGGAAGGAGCGCTGGCTTGAGAGCTGCGCCAGAAGGAAGAGGTGCTGGGCGCTGGCTGCAGAAGAAGCCATAGCTGCGCCAGCTTATGCTAGTAGTTGTAGAAGGGTTAGTATAAGGAAATCAGTGAGTTGCATTCAGAGCAGATTCTCGTAGATAGGAAGTGCGCATGCATGGTGAGATAGGGGAAAAAGGACAGAGATCTTGATAGCAGAGAGAGAGAGAGAGAGAGAGAGAGGACAGGTTGTGAAGTTGGATATGGTGGATGTTTACCTGCTGGCGCCATACCTGTGATCCGGACATATGTTGGTTGAGCCAGGCCCTTTGTTGACGAATGATTGAAGGAGACTTGTGATCTGTTGGCGCTGGACTCTTGAACTCAAGATACTCTGTACATATTGTGATTTTGATATGAGCTGTGTTTTCTGGTTCTCATTCCATCTCGAATTGGCTTTGTATGAAGCTTCTCTATCTGTGTGATGACATCTATGCATGCGATGTAAAACACTCCAGCAAGCTGTGAACAGTCAGGTTCCTTGCATGTGCAAGGATTACACGCATAAATCGAGAAATGATTCAAATTATTTGAGTAAATAAATGACAGTCATAAGGAGGAGGTTGAGCAGGACATCGTGCAGGAGTGGAGAAAGCAGGAAGGCAAGGAGAAGGCAACATCCACACCCTCCCTCGTCCTCATGCTTCTGTTCAGCATGTGCGGTGCATTGCGCACGTATGCGCGCGCATGTGATGCTGCGCACCCCAATAAATAGGGTTGATTAAAGAATTCGAAAAGGGCAGGCTGTGGTAGCCAAATGTGCCCCTCCCTTCTGAAAATTGCACGTGCAAAGAAAAAAAGTAATTGGGGCCACATCGTACCCCTCCTTGGATCCAGTCTCTTTTCCGAAGGGTCCCCAGCAGAGAATCAGCAAGGGTCCCATTTCTTCGCAGAGAAGTTCATCGAATTGCGGGTAGGACATGAGCAGGCCAGCAATACATATTCTCGATTCGAATTCAGGTCTGTGTTCCAGCAGTTATGGGTTACTACTAATACTGTGGTAGCTCTCTCCTTTTTTTTGTTTTTCCTTTTCTTACGTGCAGTGGCCATAAGGGCCTCACTCCACTGGTCACCATTTGCACAAAAGACAAAATATATGGCGGCATATGGTTCCATATTCTAACAGAAGATTCATTCTAGTTTTGCACATTTGGTGAGTAGTGGAGTGAATCCCTGAAAACCCCATGCTGAGTTAGTAAATTAGTAACCCATAACTGCTGAAACACGGACCTGAATTCAAAGTTACACCATATATAGTTGGCCTGCTACTGCCCTTTTATAAGTCCAACGACTGCCTCTTTCTTGGGGAGGAGACCCTTGCTAATTATCTGCAGGGGCCTTTCGGATTACCAGCAGGGGTTTTCTGATTTACACGAAAGTGCTCTTTGGAGTCTTTGCTCTCTCTCTCTCTCTCTCTCTCTCTCTCTCTCTCTCTCTCTCTCTCTCTCTCTCTCTCTCTCTCTCTCTCTCTCGCGCGCGCGCGCGCGCGCGC